GGTTTTTGTATTAGACCCGTCGTCCATTTATTTGTAAGTCAATGTCTATATCTATTAATTACTTCAAGAATTCTAGATGAAATTAAGTGATCGGGGCAGGTTTCGAAATGAAAAAGGAAATTACGTCATAAATCTTATTTATTCGCTCAACTCACATAACAGCCAGTCAGTTACATAACATTTCCATAAAAATACTTGCGAATATCTATCAAGCTGAGTATGTATGAAAAAATAAAATTTTATATCCTTGCATCACACGAGTAACATTGCAATCGCTACATGTTGGAAAAATCATTTCTATCTAAGAGATATGTATTGCTATATTTAGAACAATTGGGAGTTAAAAGTCGTTAAACAAAAATAAACGTTGCGGCAACGTAGGCTAAGTAAAATTTTATTTACAACTTATTTGCACAGCGCGCTCCAACCTAAAAGAATAAACGCTAAAGAATAAGCTGCTATATTTTACAAGAGTACCTACATACATGGTCCTATATTTAATATTGTAAAACATTTCTTCATTGTCAAAAGTTCTATACACTGAAAGAGATAATGTTGACTTTCGATTAGAATCGTCATCGCAATACAATTTTATAAGGGAAGGAATTTTCTTTCTTGTATTTTTATTTCTAGTACACTCATTTCTCGTCCCTGGAATGAACGCATTCACCATTTTGATGGAAAAAAGTTATTTGCGAACATAAGTTATTTGTTGAGAAAAGTTATTTACGTAATTGAGAATTTAACATGTTATGCCGTGAAACAAATAATTAATTTCCTTCTAAATAGTAAGTTAAGTGTTGTAGGGAACGATATTGCGTATTTTTGTTGCACTTTACGACGACGATTACACAAAAAAAAAACAGAAGATAGATAGATTTTGTGCTTCCATCTGACCTAATGTCCAGTCCACAGTAATTTAAAATCTTATATTACATTACAATTTCATCTAGTTTGTGCATGCTTACTTTTATAGAGGCACTGTTCGCAAACTAGTGTATTTAATTAATACAATAAATTCATTATTCATTTGATTATTTCGCATTCTACACTCACGGGCAACGCCTTGAGAAATAACGAAACTAGTATCTTGAAATTAAAGAATTTATTAACGTAGAAAATAAATGTTACTTTTAGGCAGGTATCGAATTGATGATTGATGATATCATGATAAAAATTTATTGGAACAACAAAATGCTACCGCTGGCAATGCCGTGTCATGTGTTTGTATCGGAGACGTATCCAAACGTGTCAAATATCAAACTAAACTTGTCACATAGCAAATTCTTTTTGCGAACATTATTTTTCGAGTTTATTTAGCTTTATGCTTGTAATTTTTGGTCAAAAATTAAAGAGACAAAAGTATGTATCAGTATGGATATTTATCGCGTTATTATCAGATAATTTTGAAAGAAAATTTCGAACCCTGCTTTTAGGCAAAAAACTTTATATGGCGTGGTATTGCCCGTAAGTTTATTTTCAGAATATTAAATAAAATAGAAATGGCATACTAACGTTCTACCCTTTTTTTTAAAGAATATTCTATCTTATAACATTTATAATCGTCCTATATTTTTGGCTTACAATGGCAGTTCACCGATTGTAATATCACTCGGGCTCCGACTTACCAACTTGAATTTTACGAGCCTCTTCAGGTTAGATTACGTTATACACTTTTATTTTTAAATAACACCAGTATTAGGCAAAATATTCCATAAATTGCATTTGACAAAACGTGTGTGTAGCGTACACTGTTGTTGGAAGGTTGTAGGTTATTTACAAATTACAGACTTCCTTTTCGTAATGCTGCTTGTAATTGCATTTCGCCTAACACTGAACAATAATAGCCCTTATCAACAGTCGCTAATAGTTAATTTACAAAAATAATTACTCTAAAATCATGTTTAGAGTAAGAACAAACAAAAAAATGAAATTTTGTTCAGAAAAAGTTTACTAAATAAGTTTTAAATCCTACGTCTTATGTGCCGACGCGAAAACATGTCTTATTAATGATAATAGTAATGTATATATTAGCTTAGCCAATACACTTAGCAGAAAGCAATTCAGCGGTGATCCACACAGACTACACAGTACAGACCTCCGCGATTGACGCTGTCGCATACAATTTGAAAGTTACCATACTTAGGCCGGCCACATACAGTCGGAATTCCGTTTCGGAATATCGAGTCGAGACGTCATATATTGAGTCTAGATATTTTCTCAGCGTAAAATACGTACGAAATTTAAGACTGTGTTGCGACCTTGTATAATCTATGGAAGACTTACATTCGGGACTGTTTTTTTCCTGAGGAATCCCAAATACACAAGCCACCATACGGAATTTCGAAATGAGAAAAAATTCGAATATACTACTGTATGCGTGTGACAAGTCCGTGATTTATGTGCTTTTATGCCTTCGAAATATCGAAACGGAATTCAGACTGTATGTGGCCGGCCTTATTAAATGAAAAAATATCTTCGGAAATTTTCATTTCGTTTCATGGAATGAAGCTTTTTCTAACCGGCTTAAGCCAATTCGTATCGGTAAGTATGGTGTCTCCCTTAGTAAGACATTTTTCTATAATGTTGCCTTACCACCTCTCTATAAAACAACAGAAGGCGTAAAGGGAAAGATCTGTTAATAATAATTGCGTCTTTGATATTACAAATTAAGTTCAGATTCCCTAGAGGTCTTCAATTTGAAGGTCATCGAGTTGTTGGAAAAAAGATCCACGCTGCCCTTGTTCCAACTTGTATCTAGTAGACATCATCATTCACTAACGTGTGGAAGCAAGTGCAAGTAGATGCACAAGAGAGCTGTTGGAACGAGTGCAACGGACCTCCGAAAAAGGGCAACAAAATATAGAAGTGTAGTGTTATTTAGACCGTTATTTACACATGCAGTATGGTGACTGGGTGTCGCCAGGTGCCGCGTCGCGGCCTTTCACTCGTCGGCGAAGAACTTGCTCTGCAGCTCATGCAGAGGCATCACTTGTTCGTCTCCTACTGACGGCTGTTGCTCCGCGCGCGATTGCTCGCGAAGCTCTGCAATACAAAACATACCTAAATAACAATAATAATTATTAATACAAAGATCGAACACTCAGAAAAAATTCCTTCGATCCGGTCGGATTCGAACCGACGTGTTCTTGCATACCGTGCCAGACGCTATAGCAACTAAGCCACGGAACGAACCAACGGACCTCACGAATTTTTCTATGTGCTTGCGTCGTGTCTTTGTACTTGGTCTTTCAACGACTTTTTAGTCGTAGCGCCATCTATGAGAAATCTATGACCGATTTATCACCCAGTTAGTACATTTACAGCTACCAGTCCTGGCGAGAGATGTCGCTATTCACTGTATTAATCATTATAACAAACTAGTGGAGTAATTTCACAAAAAATAATTGAATATCAATTCAATAAAAATTTAATTAACAATAATAATATTTACGTGATTGAATATCAATCACATTATACGATTTTCACGAGAAATCGATTCAAAATCTTAAGAGTTTGTGATTGTTTAGATTATTTTTCGGTTCATTGTTGTTCAGGGGGCCTAAAAACCCCACGAACCAATTTAGTTAAAAGCAATTCATTTACAGAATTCCTTGCAATTCTGTAGCAATTCCTCTTATTTTCGTAAAATTGTACCACATTCCGATGAATTGCATCCAATTCTTTTGATTTTATAATATTCACAAATGGTTTATTACGAGAATTTAGTGTAAATAAGTATGTTCATAACTAAAACAACTACATAAGTAAATATTTTTTCCGAGAAATTGAAGTGACTCGGTGAAATTCGGCGATAAATTGCTTACAACACTACTATTTAAGAAAAAATAGCTTGAGGACGTAAATGCTTTCAGGACGTTTCGGAGTAACTCAAAATTGCATTTTATTTTGAAATTCGTGCGATATCTGTACTTCAAATATGTTGTGTCACATTATATATAATGTTTAAATAAAATTTATGTAATTTTTTAAAACTCAATTATGCTATAAATTTGTAATTATAGTTGTTTGTTTATTGTTTCGTTGATCGCATTCAAAGTTACATAGTAACGCCTTCTTTAGCTGTCAAATTTGGCCACTTATTTGGTGACGACTATAGTTTGTTATAATTATTAATATAAAAGTCGAACACTCAGAAAAAGTCCTTCGATCCGCCCAGATTCGAACCATCATCTTCTAGCAAACCGAGCCAGACGCTATGCCAACAAAACAAAAAATTTTTCTATATGCTTGTTGCAGATCTTTGTTTTGGTTTTTTAACGACTGTTAACGTAGCGATAACGACCGTAGCGCCATCTGTAATCTATTTCTTCACTCAGCCTGATGCCTTTACAGCTACCAGCAGCTGACTAGAGATGTCGCTTTAATAATAGATTTATTTATTCATTCATTTATCAATACTTATAAACTATCACTACAGGATTTTACCTAATGCGATGAAATATCTGCCTATAACTAATCTATATATTTTCATAACATATTACAAACAAAGTTACCATTGTGAGTTCACTCAAAGAACAAAATATGTCTACGTTATTGGCCACCAAATTGAGAATACGAAGCGCGTGTGTCAACGGCGCCTTGTTCAGCAGGTTGGCCAGCAGATGAGGCCGTCGCGGACGCTACACGTATCCGTCCGGAACACACATGCCTATTTGCTTCAGAAGGTCCGTATTGGAAATCTTTCCTACATCAGAGGGTAATATGGGTAAACGCTGTATTGTTTCATATAGAAGCATTTATTTTGTACCCTCTCCAACATGACCACGTATTTAGTTTCATGCGGGCGCCATATGACCGCATTACACTCAAGCTGGCTTCTAACCATGGTGTTATGTAAGGCGATTATCGCTTTACTATTTGTAAAGCCATGAACCCTACGAAGAATGAAACCTAGATTCCTGTGCGCTTTTTTACATACCCTAACAATATGATCTCGGAAGGTTAGGTGTGTATTCAGTACAATTCCTAAATCCTTGACTTCGGTCACTCTAGTCATAGTAATACCAATCAATCTCGTAATGATGGCTGACAGGTTAGTGCGCGCGCGAGAGAAAGTGATTGTCACACACTTCGAGGTGTTAAATTGCAACCGGTTTCCCTTACTCCAATTCACTACTCTGTTAATATCCTCCTGCAATCTACCACAATCTTCAGAGTTTCGTATGGGCAAATACAGTTTAAGGTCGTCAGCAAACAATAAACATTTCGCGTCCTTAACAACTTGCGGCAGATCGTTTATCATTATTATAAACTCCAGCGGCCCGTTACTGCCCTGGCTTACACCTGACCTGGTGAAATAAGGTTCAGACTTATGCCCACCGTATTCTACGTACTGCTGCCGGTCACTCATGTAGCTGGCAAAGAATTGTATTACGTGTGGAGTGAATCCTACTCCTGATAACTTCCTAAGCATAACGTCATTATCGACCAAGTCAAATGCTTATTTAATTAGAATTAAGTATAACTGCCTCCATGGTCGAACGGTTACCGTGCTAGACATCCACGCAGAGGTCTCCGGTTCGATTCCCGAGCCGCTAGAAATATTTGGACGTCCTACATTTATTTCCTTCGTGAGTTTAGGTGTAATTTGTGGTTGTCTACAGTTTTATCGACAGATTGTGAAAGGTATAACCTTCAAATAACAAATCGGTTGTATCTTCTAAACAAAGGAGCGACTAATTCTAAAATTTTGCGACTAAAACACGACTTTTTCTGGGTGCAGATCTAAGCTAGGAGCTGTGGTTCTCGAAATTAAAAAATGGCGCCACAGGTATAAGCTTATTTCAGCGTGCACAGTAAAACACCTTGATAACTTCAAAACGGCGTAACGACTAAATCTAGTTTGCAGCGTGTGTGCAGCCGGAGAGTCCAACCACCACTGTATCCACTTTCGCCTACCACCACCGTTCCCCACCCAGACTCCGTCCAGGTCCACCGGCAGAGGGAGCACGCGATACCCTCCGTAACCTGCAGGTAGCGCCTCTGTCTCGCAGTTTTACGTCCGTGCTTATGACGCAAACTATCTTACATCTATACAATAGTGTTGTCGCTACGCCTAAGGTTCAATCATAATGTAAATTACATATGCGACATTCTTTCTATCACAACAACCTTTAAATAGAGTATCGATTCTACTTCATAGGACTACTATAATTGTCCTTAATAGGTCCTTGACCTCATATCGATCCTCTGGATCTGAACTAGTGGAATCCTCTGATCCCTATGATGGGCCTCCACACACACTCCTACAGCCCTTCCTCTGCCACCGCTTCACGCCCCCTTATACCTTTAGTACAAGCGGCGGTCTCATTCTAATTCTGTTACTGATTCCTCATACTCTATCTTCAGGCTGTCTAGTCAACAAATACTGTATCTAAGTTAGTAATAAATATTGTGCAAACTTAACAACTGTAGTGCCGAGATATCAGGCGTCTGCTGGGAGTGCAACCAGTGCACGCCTGATGTCTCACCTTTATTAGAGATGCCTGTACTGCCGTGTTAGTTCCCTACTCTTAGGTATCATAATAGACTAAATTTATTAATGCTTGATATTACAAAACTAATACTAAATCGCGACATAATTCGCGACAAGTGTGTTAACTCGAAAGTGTATTTTCTCAGAATTGGCGAAAAACGAATTACTTGTTTCCCTAATATGTATGTATAATTTGTCGATAATTTAAATGTATGTATAGGTTACAGTTTATTACAAACAATTTCCTACTTGCCAAATATATTTCAAAATAAAAGAGAGAAAATAATTTCATATTTTTGAATAAGGACTATTTTGGCCAGAACTAGATCACATAAAGCGTGTCTCATTTTGTGTTAAGTAGATATCTTTTAGTTGTTTCTTACAATATTCTAAAGTCAGTTTTATTGACGTGTTAAGAATAAAATTTTACGTTCAATAATGGTATTAATCTTGAATTTCACATATTTTGAGTTATAACACTATTGTAATAGCAGTGCGATATATATAATACATAATATATATAATGTACTTTCCCTCCGTGTCCCACAGCCGTGTGATGCCCTTTGTATTGAATGCTGTGTAGAATGTAGCGTATCTTACCATGCCAGTGCTGGAGCAGCCGAGTGTAGTGTTCGGCGGTGTCGTGGCGCTTGAGCTGTGTGAACACATGTACCAACCCGCGGTAGTCGTACTCCAGCCCGGAGTACCGCTCGCCGAAAAGCTTCAGGCCTGCAAAACACAAAACTCGCCTTACTTTCGTTTTCCTTAGGCGTAATTGTTATGCAAGGCTGCAAAATTGTGTTGAATGTTGTTGTCGAGTGCTCGTATTGAAATCTGAACAAGTGAAAGATTCTAAGATTGAACCACAAGCGAAGCGAGTAGTTCAAAAATAGAATCCTGAACGTAACGAGGGTTTCCAGACACGAGACCCAAAAACACTGCTGCTGAGCGAAACACACAACTTTTCACCTCACTATAGCGAAGGAATAAAATATACCATCGGATTTATATTACGTTGTTAAACGTTTCAATAGGTTTTTTTTTTCATAGAAAGAAGTTAGGTGCACCACAGTCCATTGTCAAATTCGAATTTCAAAAACATTTTCCATGCTAGCGTGCAAAAAACGCTTTTGCGCGCAGATTTCTAATGAGAATTTTTTTCTTGATAATTTTGGCTTGGATACAAGTCCTTTGAGCCATGTCTTCGTTTAATTATCGGGATCCTCCATTGACTTACAATTATACGGACGTCGGGTCCGCGCTAAAAAGAGTCCGAACTTATAGGGCGTTAAAACCGTATACAGAGCATCATACATGCTTTAGTCTTCGTTTGTTCGACTGACAGCGAAGCAAGCAAAATTAGACAGTACTGCGATGACATTACAATTTAAATTCAACGTTTTAGCTTTTTCATATTCCTTTACATGTCACTACGTTTAAATAGGTTGACTTGGGGCATTTTTTTCGTGATTTGTGTATTAAACCCGTCGTCCATTTATTTGTAAGTCAATGGGATCCTCATTAAATATTTTCCATTGTGGTTCTACAACATTATGTTTTCACTTAAATCAATTACTTATTGTAAATAAAATTAATTTTTGTAAAAACTGTACTCGTAACTTCAAAAGCCCCCCATTTCCCCTCTAATGAGAGAAAGCCTTTCCGAGATAATGAGGTGGAAAAAAAAGATAAATGACACGTTCAACTACGCGATTTGTACGACACGTTGCTTATTTATGTAATATAAACCAGTTGGTATATTTTATTCTTATTATTGTTGACATTAAATTGACTACGATGAATAATTTTGTTTATTAAATTATTTAGATTCGTGGAAGAACTAAAATAATTTCAATAATCACTTATTCACACAAAATAAAAGTTTAAGCAAGAATAAAAATTGATGAGGTGTAAATTCAGAACGCATCCCAATGATAAACTATGTCGGGATTCGCTCTGGGCCTTTTGGAGGGAAAAGTGTCGTTTTTATTTTGACTTTCAATTATTTTGTGAAATCTAGTTTGAAGTGGAATAGGATAGTGCTATTGTGCCTTAATCGAAGATTAAAGGAGACTGAAGAGGACTGAAGGACTTTGTTTCCATGACCAGCAATAAATTAAAAAAAAAAATAAAAATAAACTATGTCTTTTTTATTTTTTTATTTATTAAGGCTTTGGCAAAGCCATCAGCCTAAACATGAAGTTTAATTATGTTTCTGTAAATATGGTCACCACAAAGAGGATAGGCAATTTGAGGCGGCGTGTTTGGATTGACTCGGGATTCCTAACAACGGGCCGATACGGGTATTTTAGTTCGAGATTCGTATAATTTCGCGTTTTAATCTTCGATTAAGGCACAATAGCACTATCCTATTCCACTTTAAACTAGATTTCACAAAATAATTGAAAGTCAAAATAAAAACGACAATTTTCCCTCCAAAAGGCCCAGAGCGAATCCCCCTGTCTTTTCATTAAAAAAAAACTGATGTTTTAAAATTCAACTGTTTTTTTTTTCGTCTACCATTTTCCTTGCTATAGTGAGGTGAAAAGTTGTGTGTTTCGCTCGGCAGCAAAGTTGTTTTGCGTCTCGTGGTTAAGGAATCTTCTTTTGAATTCTTAGCTTCCTTGGCTTGCTCAGGTTTGAATACAAGCACTCCCGTCAAACAAGAACTTTGCAGTCTTGCTTATCAAATAACTATTAAATGCTTTTATATTCATTGTGTTACATCAGTTATTCAGATTTATAATTACACGGAAAATTATTGGTTTGGTTTGGTACGACTAAAATGTTAATGTTATATTTTTGTTTCTAAAATGTTTATTGGTATGTTCCAGAAATCCCCACTAAAAATCTTCATTTATTTTTAATAAAAAGAGGTTCTCAATTCTACTGCATTTTTTTATGTACCCTACGTGATAACTCCGATTCTATATATGAACCAATTTTGATGATTATTTATTGGAGAGAGGATACATCAGAAGTGGTACCCAATACAAAATATTCCACCTCTAAGGGTGGCAAACTAGGGAATGAATGACATTTGAGGTCGGTTTTTTTAGTACTCCGTACAGAGATTACTTAGTATTTTTTTAGGAGTATAACATTGTACTAGATTACCTAGGGTCGTATTCTAGAACTCTACTCAATGCTCAAGTCAGGATTTGAGTATGGTTTAAAGCGCTCGAAATCATACTCAAGTCCCTGCCATTAGGGTCGTATTTCCAGTGCAATCATGACTGAGCATTGAGTAGAGTTCTAGAATACGACCCCTAGTCTTCTAAGTTTACGGAACAGGCCCAAAACGCAAATTTGTTTACTAAAGTCTGAAGAAGGCTGAAAACCAGTGCGAAGCGACTTCTATCACTCAGTAAATGCTGAGACTGTCCCCCACACAAATCAATACAACAATCTTTTTCCTCTTATTCTGTATTTCATGTGTGTGGATATAAATGGCTTAATTTTAATCCGTTGAAGTGCAATCTTCAATATGTTTGTATGTCTGACGTTTGTGTTACAATTTTTATTTTGTCAACTTCTATACAACCTGTGTTTTCACAAATAAAGGAATTATGAAAAGTGTACTTACTAATACTGATCGAGCGCAGATACAGCTTCTCAGCGGCCTGATGCATGCTCATATGGTAGTTGTAAAGCGAGGCCAAGTGGCCGATGCTGAGTCCCACTTCGTAGTCGTCTGGGCCCAGCAGTTCCTCCTTGATCGCTATAGCTTTGAGGTGCATTGTTTCTGCATCCTATAAAACGAAAAATTAACGTTTTATCTCTTGCCAACTCTTACCGTTTTAGATATCAAGTGAAAGGACAACGGAATATATTTTTATCATCCAAAAGAAATGCCTACGCATCGTAAACAATATACGCCCGAGAGATACATGCAGGCCACATTTTATAAAAGAAAAAATTTTAACTCTTCCGTCTATATACATTTTGGAAAGTGCCATGTTTGTAAGACAACATTTGGATCTTTTTGAATTCGTAGAAAGCACACGTCGAAACGCAAAGCTCGTATTACCAACTCCAAGATTGGAAATGTTTAGAGATAGCCCGCTATATAGATGCATACTAATTTATAACAAAATATCAGACATCCTCAAGAAAGTAGATAGTGACAACGTGTTTAAAACTAAGTTGAGGTCTCTCTTGTTAAGTAAATGTTATTACAATGTGGGAGACTTCATGAACTCTCCTATAAGCTAAAAGAGTCCAGTTTCAGATAAGTAATTTTAAGTCTATGTAATACTATGATCTAAAGTTTATTAATGATAATTTTAAGATCCTATATGTATTAGTTCCTAAATGTTATTATTATTATTGTTATTTTTACAATTTTAATATTACGTTTAATAATAATTAATTGCTTCACCCCAAAGGGGTATGTATGTACTTATTACCTATGTAATTTTTGTACCTACATTGTTTGCAAATAAATAAATAAAATAAAATAAATAAAAAAACAATGGGAGTGCTAATGCACAACCTCGATTACAATCAGAACCGCTCTGCCGTCCACCAACTAAAGCCCGGCTAAATAACAAATGGTGAAATATCCGTTTTAAATAACAAAAGATAAGATTTATAAACAGTTAAAATTTTAACTAATTAGTTAACGTGTTCGACTTCTCGGAACTTACCCTAACGATGCAGAGGTCAAATATCATTAAACAATTTCAATTTTAATAATAATAACGCACACACTCAACATAGCCCCGCACTAGGGAAACCCTGTGTCGCGGTTGCCATGGACACACACATACACAACCACAAATTACACCCAAACTCACGAGAGAAATAAATGTAGGCCATATAAATATTTCTCCCTGGGTATCGAATTTGGGACCTCTGCGTGGCATGGTAACCGTTCGGCCACTGAGGCAGTTGGTTAGTTTAATGATCAGTCGTAGTTTCTAATTTAGAAAGAAATAACAAATACTGGATTGTTAATATAATTTAAACTTTACACTGTTGCCATATCGTTGCAAGTTCAATACCATCAATATCTATTATACGACGTTTTGGTTTTATATTTAATTTCAAACAATGTGCTGCCATCTAGCGGTTGATAACTGAACGACGACGAATTCGAGATGTTTGTTTAGTTCTCCAAAAAAAGTAGCGGCCGTATTGCAGCGGTATAAGGTTTCATTTCGTTTCTTGTAACAAAAAAATATTACGGTAATAAGAATTAAAAATTTATTTAAATTAAGTAAAATATGACTTAATGATTCATTCAAAATTGTGTTCCGATAAATGGCGACGCAATGTCACCTTTTATAATTTGTTATTAAAATGGTATTCTCTTATTATAATATTTGTAATATTAGGTTAGGTTAATGTTGTCGTGGTGAATGTTCACTGATCCCACGGCGCCGACTCAACCGGCGAGAGGGAAACCCGGGGGGGTTTTAGTGGGGTAGGCCCTCCAGTCTGGAGGGAGAGTCCCCACATAACCCATGAGTCTCCCTGGGCTCAGGGGTATCCATAAAGATTTCCCCCCCGTCAAAAAAAAAAAAAGGGTTAGGTTAACGTTACTTACAAGATTATATTTCTGTTTTTAAACATTTAAAATATAAATCGTTTACTGGATTCAAACGGGGAGTCATATATAAAAAAAAACCGGCTTGATAGCGTTTAGTGTGCTATATTTTTTATGTAGTCTCGATTGTACCTTGGAAATTGGAACAGTGGAATCATTTTGATCATAATAGAAACGAAGTAAAGTACCACATGTGTTTTTTCTTTCACGTAGCGCTTTGCGTCGCCGTGTTGCGTGCGTTGCGTGTGTTTGAATTTATTTATCTCGTTTGAGTTTGGATGTAATTTGTGGTTGTCTATGTGTGTGTCCATGGCACCCGCGATACAGGGTTTCCTTAGTGCTGGGGCTATGTTGAGTGTGTGCGTTATTATTATTACTAAAAATGACATTGAAATTTCCAACTAATAATTTCGTACCTGGAACTTCTGCATGGATTGGTAGAGCCGGCCGAGATTCCCGTAGTGCTTGGCAGTCTGCACGTTCTTCTCGCCGAAGGCTTTCATCGAAAGCGCTAAGGCCGCTTTGTGCAGCGCCTCAGATTCCTCTAGCAGGCTCGGCTCTGTAATATAGAATTGGAAATTAATAACTCTTGTAATTATAGGAAATGAACTATTTTTCCGGATTTAAATCGCATATATTTGTTTTTCAAACAAACCTACGTTTCTTAACAAATATTCATATTATTACAATAAAATAATTTGTAAAACAATGTAGCGTAAATTGGAATGTTTCTTTGTAAAATTAAAAATAATTTATTTAATTAATAACTTTTGTAACTATAGTGAAAAAAAAAAGTAAAAAAAAAAAAAAAAAGTAAAAATAAAAAGTTAAAAAAGTAAAAAGTAAAGGTTTGCATTAATATGAGACATAACTGGTTGATGATTGTACTACCTCAGTGAACCGTGACCATGGGACCTGCAAAGGACCCGAAACGTTGATTTGTTTGAAAAAACAAATATACGCGATTTAAATTCGGAAATATAGTTTCATTTCCTATGTGTAACAATCGCGAAAACCTAAGAACTCGATATTTTGTAACTATAGTTCCGAACAAGGTGATTGGCATCAATATTAGACATAACCATGGGGCCTATAAAAGGCCCAAAACGTCGGCTCGTTTGAAAAAAAAAAACAATTCCAATCTACTTTTTCAGTTTTTTTTATAATACCAAGTGACGGGACGAACAAGTCGTGCGCCTGGTGGTAAGCGACACGCCTGTCCATAACAGTTGCAGTGCCACTCAGGGCTTTAAATCGCAAAGATCTGTGGTGCACTGCCACCGCGCCCGTCACCCTGAGACATAAGTTAACAAGGCCCATGTGCCTGTAATTTCACCAGCACTTCAAAACCGGAACACAGTAATACTGACATTATTGCTTGGCGGCATAAATATGCATAGAAGTGTTTACCGCTCATGTCCTGCCCAGCGGGAGTGTCCAGAGCGATCTCTTCGAGGATAAGTGCTTTGACCCTCTTCGCGCTGGCCAGTAGCAGATGGTCGGACGGCACCAAGTTCTGGAAAAAAATACCACGTTTGTTAGATTACGTTCGTTGTATTGGCGTTGAAGGTCGATGGTAATTTTTGGAGGAAAAGCTCTACAAAATAATGTTGTGATATTTATTTTATTGAATATCATATTTTACTACCATGATACATATAGCGTAAAAGTGTTGCCCGCTTGCGAGCAGGTAGTGATTGCAGTCGATAATATTCTATTCTATTTGTGGAATAAATCCGAACTTGTTTCATTTGAATCATCCTCGATATTCATTCATTTAAGAGAACAAGATTATTTAAATTGTCAATTTCTATACGTTCATTCATACGTACTTTTAGAACTATATTTATGAAAAATACAAAGATAAGACATATTTTATAGTTTTTAATTTTGAATTCAATATAGATGATCAAATCCGACTATCCTCGTCAAAATGTGTATGAATAAAAATTTTATTTTGTTACTAGTAGGCCAACTGTCAAAATAAGAATAAAGAAGACAATAACGCAATTAGTAGTCATTAGAATGTCATAACACTCACAATTCTGTCATTTTTGGCAATATTTTATCTTCTTTCACAATCTATCGATAAAATTATCGACAACAACTACGTAACTATTTAAAACTTTATGAAAAGTGGCAACCCTGCAAATGTCATTTTACTCCGTCTTCAAACAACTTTAGTAATTAACTACAAATAATTTAACTGCCTCTGTGGTCAAACGGTTACCGTGCCGGACTGCCACGCAGAGGTCCCAGGTTCGATTCCCCGGGCCAGGAGAAATATTTGTATGGCCTACATTTATTTATCTCGTAAGTTTGGGTGTAATTTGTGGTTGTTTATGTATGTGTCCACAGCACCAGCGACACAGGGTTTCCCTAGTGCGAGGCTATGTTGAGTGTGTACGTTAAAAAAAAACAATAATCTCAGTACACAGTATTCGTGGAATTACATCTATTTGCCAAGTTTTATTGCAATCGGTAACCTAAAAGTGCGCGAAGCCGGATTCATCCCCTAGTTCGCCTCCCTTAGAGGTGGAATATTTTCATAAAATCAAAACATACTTACATAAAAAAATATACTCGAATTGAGAACCTCCCCTTTTTGAAAGTCGGTTAAAAAGACATCATCACATAGAACAGATCAGATAGAAGCGATCACCTCAATGATCTGGATGGCGCGCTCTGCGTGGTCGCGCGCCTTGTAGAACCTGCCGGAGGAGTACTCCAGCACGTACAGCGCGTACGCCAGGTCCTCCTGCGCCGTGGCCACGTGGAGCGACGCCCGCCCGAACACGCGCCGCAGCGTGGTCAGCGCCTCCTGCGCACGTGTGGACAAGCCCGTTCATTCCCTCTAGTTCCGTGCACTCCCTTCCGGAGCAAGTCTCATCCGAACGAAAGTGCCGGCACTATGTGGGCCTAATTTATGGAATGTCTGTCAAAACGGCCATCACAGCGCGCCAGTACCATAGTGGGAATAAATTTAGTAATTTTATCTTTATTCCCATTGACTTACAATTATATGGACGTCGGGTCCGCGCTAAAA